ATATATATATACATATGTATATGAGTACATATGTACACATGTCTATCTGCATGCAGATGCACCGTTCGGGTTCTATGAAGTGATCAGATGCTTCACGGCACACCGAGGGTTCAGGGGACGAAGGCAAAGATCATCGTCGTCTTGAGTAGTTCCGTGCCAAATTCTCTGTGGTGAAAGTTGGTCACATGATTTTCATGTCGAAGTAGTCTTCTCATGCACAGCTCGCTTCCCTGCATACATATCTTGCTGACCAAGAGCCCAGCTTTGATCACAAGTCTGGATGACGCCGGTGCTGTAACGAACTCCACGACTCCCTGAAGCAAGAAATGCCGACTCCCCGCTCAGTGGTCATGCAGGTTCTGCCGGGCGCGAGTGCCTTGGATGAAGTTAATAAAATCCGACCAAGTTCTTTCCGTGAAGCTCCAGCAGTCTAGCGAAAATCCTCGCTTGTAGTTTCCGACGAAGAGATATCCCATCATGTGCTCAACTCCTCACCGCTGTTTGGACACGAGTCTTCGAAAGGTCCCCACAGCAGCCTTGAGGGTTCGGACGACGGAGCTGAGCCGCGGCGACCCCAGTTCTTTGAAGTGTGCTGCAATTCCCTCCAAGGTGTTGACAGAACTCAATATTTGACAACAGCAAGTGAGTAAGAGCTCATCAGACAGCCTGTGAGCAGCTTGGCCATAGAGAGACGACATCCCGATTGAGGGCGCTTCAAAAGTCAAGACTCCTCAGCCACTGATTACTGCGATGATTGCGTCTCACTCCAAGGCTCATCGTCATCCACAAACGAGATGCTCGGGCTTGCCTCGTCGCATGCTTGGCGTCCTTCTGCGGCTTGGCGGCGTACGTTGTGTCTTTCGTAAGGTGTCGAGAGCTTGCTAGGAGACCCTTTCCCCTTGACATGCACCGAAGACACATGCAGTCTAAAGCCAGACACCTGTGGACCTGCGGCTGCATACCTACCCATCATGAACACATGCACTTCACTGATTCACGCCCGTTCACACCATCAGCATGCACATGTGAGGTTGAAGAACGTTCTTTACTGTCCGCAGTGACACTGAGGCTGTGTCGGTTCAGTGTCTTGGGGTTCTTTAAAGATCTTTAACGCATTCTGGGTTCGGGGATGGTTTCTGCCCCTTTCCTGCGATCCGAGGTGGTCTTTTCCTGTGCCTGAGCTGCAACAGTGGGGGGGGGGGGGGGGGGGNNGGGCCATTTCTCAGGAACGAGCTTTGCGAACACGTAAGAAAGCATACCTCATCGGCACTGCGCCGTGCAGGCAGTCGTTATTGATGGGCCAGACTGCTTGATGCTGCCATCCCAAACTTTATGTCTCGAGCGTGAATTCCCGGGCTGTGACGAAGGACCCGTTGTGGCCAAAGGACTTGCGGGCTTGAGTGACGTTTCTAGCTTCGGCACGGAACCGAGTTTCCGTGCAGCAAGATGAGCAAGACATAGCAAGAAATACATTTTCGAAGCGGCGTGCGATCCCGTGCGGCCGATGGTGACAAGCGGTGCCGGGGTCAGGCAAGGGCTCGGTGAGAAGATAGCCTTTGCCAAGGATCCTCCTTGGCGTCGTCGTCTTTGTGGGCAGGAACCTGGTGAGCTTGAGTGCGCAAGGCTGGACTGCGGCCAAACGGGCTGCTCCCTCTGGGATTTGGTCAAGAGTCAAGAGTCCATTCATGTGGAAAAATTACGAGAAAGCTAGAACATCTTCAGGCGTAAATCACGAGCAGATGCTGAATTGAGTCGCCCGTACCACGCTGATGTAGCGTGATCGAGGGATCAGTGCTGAGATGTCCCTTCTTATCGCCCATTCGAGGCAGCGTCAATGCGCAGAGAGCGCAAACAACACCTGCTGAGTTCCCTCGCTACAACAGCTGCGGAGGCTGCGAGGCCGAAGTTGGCACTTCCTGAACTGAAGTGCGCATAAAAATGCACGTGTGATTATCCTTTTGGAGTTTGCCGATGTCTGCATTGGGACCCAAAGCTGGGCCTTTGCTGCAGGAGGGCAACAAGTCTGACGACGACCTGAGAGAGCCATTGGGCTTGGACTGTTTGCAAAATCGACTGTGAGGCTTCACTGCACTGTCGCGTTTCCGACACCATCGTGGTAAGGTTCAGAGTAACTCTACACTCATGAGCTTCCTGTAGTAGATGAAAAACTAGCCAGATGGTTAGAGTGACAGGCTCCAAGCTTGTCAACACCTAAGACTCCTGTCGACGCCCTTGCCCAAGCACAACCAATGCGAAATGGAGCCTTTCAATGATGTAGCACTGGCATCCCAAGGTGCATACATCCCTGCTACAATCTGAGCTTCGTCCTGCGCTTGGAGGGGTAAAGCACACTGGCGGTCTATCTCAATGAAAGCCTGAATTCTGGGTCCCCATACTCTCGAAGATGTCGTGACTATGCTTGTGGATTTTACTCGATTTCTCGCTGAATGACTTAATGCGGCACTACAGATAGTCAGCGTAATTTCTTTGAAACCTCAGCCGGTGTCACTGTAGATCCGCGTGTAGGAACTACCCGAAGGGTACTTTGGCCGAGCTTTTGGCGTGGAAACCAGGAGGTCCGGTCGTGTTGAAATCTCTCTATTTTGAGGTCCTGAGCTGGGAGCGCTACAACAGGGACCACGAGTTCAGGCCACTGGGGAATGATATGGAATGATGGAAGGGTCGGGGAATATGAACCCCCATTTTGCCTTGCTTCTTGCAACCTCCGTTTTCATGTTTGCCTGTCTGCTGCCTGTTGTGTTGTCCTTCAGTTGTCTGTCTGTGCAGATATCTGTCGGCGGTCTTTTGGTTGTAGGAAATGTTGGTTCGCATGTTGAACAGTCTGTGCCTGTGTCCAACCCCGTTTCTAAGGCTATAGGAGCATGCTGTGATCTGCAGAATCTATTGAGAGCAGCAGAGGCTTGCCCCACACCCACACCTAAAGAGTGGGCATCTAATAACAAAGAGGCTATTCAAGATCTGCTGATTCAGACTGGGACGCCAGTCTCTGCACCTGAATACTTGGCCATGTCAGTAATGCAGCGTGTTATGTTGGTGCCTGTGTTTTCTTTCCAGCGAGTGCGTGGGACCTGCCAAGGGGCTAAGCCTACACAGCTTTAAGATCATTGGAAGTACCAGCGACCATTCGCATCAAGTGCGCGCACGCGTGTGCGCGTGCACTTTATGCGGGTATGCAGATCTGGGTACCCATGCATCTCGTTTTGGTATTGCTCACCTTATGCATGCTTGTGTTTTTTTACGATGTTCCTTGAGTATACCAGACATGACGAGCAACCCATCGCCCGTTGTCGTCGTCACCCTCCTCCTCATCTTCCTCATCTTCCTCATCATCATCGTCACCAGTCGTGGCGGCGGCAGCAGCAGGTACCGTCAAACAGCTGCACCAGCAGCACCAGCGGCCAAACAACCGTAGCACTCATTTCATCATCATCATCATCATCATCAGCAGCAGCAGCAGCGTCATCATCATCATCATCATCATCATCATCATCATAATGATCAAGGTTTCAATGTTCTACATCGATACGAGCATCTCGATCTCGCCGTCTTAATCGTCATAGGCATGCCAAGCGTGAGAAGTTGCAGTCGTCGTCGACGTTGTCGCTGGTGTCTTTGGTGGTGGTGGTGGTGCTGCTGCTGCTGCTGCTGTTGCTGGTGTTGCTGGTGCTGATTCTATTGCTGGTGCTATTTGGTGGTGTGCATCCTGAAATCTGTTCGAAGCGCCAGGACCCCAAGAGAGATATAAGTTCCACAACAGCCTTCCTTGAGTGACAGCAGAGAATGGAGGCTGGTCTACTTTCCCTCCCGTGCCGGCCCCCGAGGCATCTTTCGGAGGGGAGCAGGCGTTCAATGGCTTAATTCATGCGGCCACGGGTTTTTTGGGGTTGGTGGGTGACTTCTGCTATTCTGGAAATGCGCCACCTGCACTGCACAAGGCTTTCCTAGATATCATCGTGTAAGATGCTGCGAGTTCGTGCGCCTCATGCTTTTTCAAAACCACTAGAAGTGGCTACCATCTGGCGAGAGCCGCGCACTAAGCAACGCCGTCGATGACCCAACGTCCCGGTTGGCAAAATCTGCTCGGCAGCCCCGGCAGGAGAGGTGCCGGTGAATATCTCGGCTTGGTGGTTGCCGGCGCCGCCTCGAGGCATAGCCGACACATGGCTTATCGTTGCTCCCTCGTCAGCTACTCCAGTGCAGCTCTGCCTAATCGAAAGTCGGAGCTGTGTGAGCCGAATTCGGAGTTGAAGCCATTTTACTGCCAGTTGGGAAGCGCGGCTGTGGACTAGTGCACACTAGCGTCGGCTGTCTCATCTCACGTCCGACAAGGGAAGTCTGCCACGGCAGCATGTAGTCGGCCCGCAAGCATGCTCATGATACGACCCACCAAAACAGATTGACCTTCCAAGTTGCGTTTCGGCTTTATTGATAAAAACGGTGTCCGTGCGACCTTGCAGTCGGCATGTCGGGTCTTTCGCTGACCACGTATCGCTGCATCCTGAAGTCGCCAAATGGCGGATTGCGGTTTGATCTCGAATGTAGGGGACACAGCTTGTGAGAAATTTCGGGGAGGGCACGCTGCAAGTTGGGCAGCCGCCCATGTTGCTAGGTGGCAAGCCCGCGCCGCGCATTGTCGCCATGCACGGTGTCGGCGCCAACTGCAACCACTGTGGTGTTCAGAGCACTTGCTACTTGAGCCTTGGCATGTCAGACGAATGCTTTGGCACTTCTGAAGCACGGCCTTACACAGAACACAATCTCTCACATGCACGTGCACATGAGAGCATGCAGGGTTGCTTGCACGCATGTGCGTCATAAACTAGTAGGTACATGGAAGTAAAGAAACACATGACCTGATATTGTACAAGAAACCGACAACCATCACACTCTTAAGGCAGTTAGTGATGTTAGTGATATGTGGTGTGTACTCGTTGATGAACATCTAACTTCATTGTTTGGACGATGTCAATGTTGATCTAAGCTGCGGGGTGTGTTCTGGCTCAGCTGCACACTGGCTGTTAGCCTTTGCAGCGGAAGCTGAACCAAAAATCCTAGATGTATGTGTTCTCTTCGATCCTTCGCAGCGAGCAGCCCAGTTCAATAGCACATCCAAGGCTGCGATCAATGGGTCGGCTCCTTACACTCACCACGCCTTATGCACCTCTTTGCTCCGCCGTGTCTGAAAACACTAGCCCTGAGCTCCAGTCTCTTTGGGAGGTTTCGCAAGTCGGATCTTTAAGCAGACTATGTGTAAGTCTAATAGGGTCTGCTGCAAGATGCTGCCTCTCTTGGATCGTATGGGGTCTTCAGCTGCGTTCCTGCTGAGTTCCTGCTGAGTCGCGCGATGAACAGGAGAGATTTTGTTTTTTCCTCAGCATGCCCCTCCCTCAAATGTCTTAGCCCAAGATGTTCGAATGTGTGGCCGCACAGAGACTTAATTTCGCGCGCCTGTCAGCAGCAAGCACCAACAACAAGTGCTTTTTTGCTTATTTGTGTGTGTGACTCGACTTGCCGGATGAACTTGGATGACACCGTGCATCGGGTGATGCTTGACGCGAGTTTCCTGACAGTCTCTTTCCACCCTTGGTTTCCAGATACTTACATCGTTGCTTGTTAGTTTGCTCTACACTTCCTTTAACTCTTCCTGGAATGTGCATATTTTCTTGCAGACTGGATCTCACAAAGCTGTAAGTCACTGCAAGTGAGTCGATCCGTGTGTTCCGATGGCAGAGCTCTGGAACCAGGTTTCAGCTGCCTCACCCCCAGCGCCCGGGATGCCGGGTTGTCGGGACCCTCGAGCCATCCGGAGCCTTGCAACTGACCACAGTAGGGCAGACAGGGTTGCATGGAGGTATGCATGAAGATCCCAGGTTGAAGGGTTTCAACAGATGTCGAAGAGGGAAGAGCGATGTCGGCAATGGTGCGGAAATTGATCCGAGGTTTGGATAGTTTCCGGGACTTTCCAGGAATCTTTCACATAGCAGAGATTCGCACAGCTCTGGTGGCTAGCTGTACAAGGAGTGGTGTTTGTGCTTAACTCCCGCCTTCCGACGGAAATCTCTCATCCAAGGACATTATGACCTGGGGTTACGACTATCACCTAGAGACGTGGCTGCATCGATCGGCAGCCTTGTTTTAGGGTTTAGGCTGGGTTCATGCTGCAACGCTCGAGTTTGAGCCGGTGGACAACCTTGGAGAAGCTGATGTCACAACAATGCGCATAACTTCTGCCAACCAAGGACACTCTCGGAGGCCTGCGGGCGTTCCTGCTTGCAGAGTGATATCATATATGACATCAAGTTTCATATTGATTGCCGGGTGTTACAGTGCTATTGTACACAATCCATGTCCAAATTGGCTGAGTGCCTGAAGTCTCAGGACTCAAAGTCAAAGCACCCCAAGCTCTGCGCAACTCCTCGAATACTCTCTACGCCCACACCATGTAAAAGCAACTACGCCCCTGGCAGCCCCGAAGAGGTTGGGACTATGCGCGCAGCTTAGTGCCGACTTGGAGCCACTGGTAGATTCGATGAGGGCAGTCAGAGGGTTTTGCGGTGTCGTTGACGTCGCATACTGTCAAACCTCTTGTCTTCTTGATGTGGTCTGAACTCGGATGACCGAGCCTCGAGGTGTCTGACATGTCTGACATCTCGAGACCCTTTCCTCCACCCAGCTGAGGCCGTGGAGGATCCAGATGGCCTTCTAGGTGGCCCGCTGCCTCCCGACCAGGCGAGACGGAGTTGTCGTGGCTGGGGCGGCTTGGGTTGCTTGAACTCGGCATCTGCTGCACGTGACGTCGGACCAGTGGTTCTGCACAGCCCCTGCGCATCCCCGAAGTTGAAATGCTATAGTAACTTGGTCTCGTCTCAAGCACCAGTGTTCGTTTGAAGGTGCACCTTCCATCCTAAACCTTTGGGGACCATTGCCGCTCCAGAGGTAGGCATCATGGGCTTCTCCAAGGGCGCCTACGAGACTGCAATTGCCTTCGGATCGCTCCCCAGCGTCGTGAGTGTCAAGGAAGGGGTTTGCAGCTTTGCTTCCAGCGTCGACCCTTTAAACCACCCTTTCGGGGCATTCTGCCATTAAACAGGATTCTGCCAATGCGCACGCACAAACAAGCTCCCTCACTCCCTCACTCACTCACTGACTCACTCACTCACTCACTCACTCACTCACTCAGACTTTTACACTTTCACGGCTACCACCGCCTCCACCTCACTCTACCACGACGGCCTGTCCGGCCAGCCTCACCACCACCACCACCACCACCACCACCACCACCCCCACCACCACCATAGCCACCAGCACCACCAGCACCACCAGCACCACCAACACCAACGCAAACACAAATACGAACACCAACACCGACCAACACCGACCAACACCGTCACCACAACTGCCGACGACGGTAATCATTACGAGCGTGTTGTATTGTGAGTGGTGTTGTTGTGAATATTGTGCCCTGAGCGCTATCACAAAGTGTGTACATGGTGTCCATCTCGCACACTGATTCTTAGGAAAAGAAACTCTCAGCTCCAGGCTTGGAACAAAGAATTCCTGGTGCTTGGCTGGACTCAGCCAGGGCCCTAGAACTCTGCAAATCGGGCGGCATTCACAGACTTTGGGTATTCTATCGTGGTGTTGAGTGTGACCGCGCTGTCACTCTCATGCTCACTCTCACGGTAGCTCTCACTTGAGAGTCTGCAGCCCTGTGTCTACCTGAGTCTACTCACCACTCCTGTGTGGCAGGGCCCGTATGCCGGGCTTTTTGGGATGATTGTGTCGACGGTCTGGGCCTCTGTTGTTGTCCGATCACGCCTGAGGATGGAGGCTTACATCCGCTAGGTTCCTTTCAGGTTTCGTATAAGGATGCGCCATGCGCCATGGAGCTCTGAGCAGCCCGAGCATTGTGTAAATTTCAGCCTGGCGGCCTAGCTAGCCGCTCGAGTAAGACGTCGATTTGGTTCGCAAGGGATGCATGCCATCAGCCTGTGCAGGTTGCTCCGTACGTTGGCAGTTTTTTTGGAGACGTCCTTGCGAGAGGTGCAGCTTGGATGCATTTCGACGATATGTGGACCTTGTGGGTGTCGGACACAGTACTGTAAAGCTACGGCGAATCATGCCCCTGCACGCAGCTATGCGTAATTGCTCCCAGTGGGATACGCAGTGACATGGTATGACATGGTATTGGGGTCCCGGTTCTTGCAGAGTTTGACATTTCGTATCCCGTCATCTCTCTCTCGAGGTATTCGCCTCCGCTACCTTCTTCTCGGGCGGTCGCGTGGTGCCTCGGACCAGATGCCTGATGCTTGCTTTTCGTTTTGCTCATCTTGGCTTGATATCATCGCCACGCAGCAAAGGACTCGAAATCACATGAAACCATTCATTGATCTCGCTGGAGTTGGGCGTTGCATTTGACGATTGATTCGGTTTGTGTTCTCTCCAAGGAGCCAGTTTCGAGAAAAGTACTAGTGAGGAGTCTTTAGTATCTTTAGTGAAGACAAGAAGGAGACATTCGTGCTGGACATCCAGAGGCTCACGGAACTCCGGTTCCGGGAGTGACGGCAGTGATGCTTGTCCGACTGTCTGCGCCGTCCGAACATTCCTTCTGTGTTGTGCCGCTCAGATTCGAAATCAGGACGTTTACGACCCGTTGCAGTTGCTTTCCAACTGCACTGCAGGAGACTTGTGCCTCGTGCATTTTCTAGCCGGTCGAGTTTCCTGAAGACCTCAAGCAAAACACCTTCAGATACCTTCAACCGTCAGTAATATTGAATCGTCTGGCTCCAGTTCCACTTCAACAAGAGGCTAACAGGGGCTGTGCTGGTTAGAGGGTTTGGGACGTTTTTGACCTGTCTTGTCGGAGGAGAGAAGAAGAGGCAAGTATTGATTGCCCACGGCACCCTGGACGACACTGCCGAAAGCTTACTTCACATGCCCAAAAAGTGACTCCGGTCTCGGATGCAGTTGTAGCTAGGTCCCGACACGGTACTCCGCGATGGCCTGCGCCTCAGCAAGCTTTGAGCTATAATGTTCGCTTCCTTGTCGGAAAGTCTTACCAGCTGCACTTTGCTTAGGCAATGTAGAGTAGAGTCTCGCCACGCGTCAGGCGATTGAGGTGTTGTCCGGGGAGCCACGCTGCTATGAGGCCGGCAGTCTTGGGACGATGGCATGCGTCAATGCTGCGGCTTGTGGAGAGAAGCATAGGACTTTGGCTACCGCATCTTGAGGAGTCCGTTTGCCGTGGCTGCAGGTCCGAACTTACACACCGCCGGCATACTGCAATGGGGCATCCCATCATCAGGAGCCTCTCATGTGTCGATAAGGTGTCAGCAGGCCGTCCGACTTTCAGACATCAAGACAAGATGAAAGTGCTGCACTTTTCGACCAGCTTGCCGATGTGGTTACACAGTTCCACATGCGATCCCCTGCACCGCCGCACATTCTCGCAGAAAAGGAGATGTGGGAGTTTCCGGACGACACCCGGCACAAGCTCTGCTCCTTCTGGAGCAAGGGGCCGCAGCAGGGGTTGTCCGAGCTTCGTTCAGCTCACACGCGCGTAAGTCCAGTAAAAGCAGGCATCACACGCTCTCCGCAATGTTTGCTCGACTGGCTATCAAGCGCTGGGTGTGTTGCATCGATCGCATTTCCATCTACGTCCGTAGCCCTGACACAGCCTCAAGGCAGAACCTTTGACAGAGATCCAGCTCTGTGTGGCACGGGTCTTGGGCGGTCTTCCCGCTTCAGATCTCCACGTGTTTGCTACATGCTGTATTGGACGAGACAGCGCCAGACAGTGCCGGGGTCGATTACAGTAGGTTGTGTCCAGATTTCCTCCGGCCGAAGATGGGGCCCGTGGTATGCCATGTACGGTGCTGTAGAGCCGTTGCAGGTCAGGGCATGCTTTAGATGCAGATCCGAAGGAGAAAGCGCAGGCCTGCACCTCCGTCGACCGAGGTCTTGGAAAGCTGCCAAGCTTTCAAGTTTGGGAGCCCTCTGACAGGTTACCACCTGGAAGTGTCTTTGGCTGCAGGGCAGCTGGCCACAACAGCAATCGAAATACATTTCAAACCTCTGGCTAAAGCTAGAACCTCAGTCTCTTGCATTTGGAGGGCTTGGTGTTTCGAGACTGCAGGCCTTCATCGTCCGTCATCTTCAAGTTTGTTCCAAAATGGTGCCTGAGACCCTCATCGGGAAACCCTTGACAGCGATGAGAAGACCGCATCGGGAACCCAACCACCCGACAGAGGCCCAGAGGAACCGACACGACACGCTTGCAGACACTTGAGGATTCCAGGCGAACAAAGCACAAAGCACCTCTGCTTGCTATTGAAGAAAACGGGTCGGCTACTGCGTTTTTGGAGATGCTGCTTCCCCACAATGTATCAAGCTCAAGCTTCCATGATTCTCAGCGACACAATGTGCTTTCCTCCTTGCCCCTATGCAATCCCAGGTCCGCACACTCCGTCTTTTGTGTGAGACGTAGTTACGTAGTTTCCTTGACGGTGGGTTGTCCGATTTTCCGAAGGTTTTATGTTATATAGGGATCTTAAATCACAGAAGGCGGTGTGGCAAATGTGCTTGGGACAACCCCAGAGGAGTCAGAAATGATAATGCTTCAGACTATTCAGCCTTAGCTGTTTGTCTTACCTCTGCCTACTTGTTCGCTCAAAGGAGCAAAAAGAGCGTTGCATTTGCTGCACCGTTTCCTCCTTGACCAAGTCCTTGCAGGCACGAGTAGCTCAGTTTCTGCTGTGTCCGTGTCACTGCGAGTCTAATCGGCCGCACAGGGCTCGTCTCGTCTTGCGAGCCAAAAGGGAAGGAACAGCCCCAACATGGGTCCGCCTAACATCCCGAACGCTCGCAGGACTCTGCGCTAGCCACCCGACTCTACCTCTTATGGCAATCCTCCAGGACCAGATTGGTCTGGAGCTTCCGGCACTTCGTGATTTAGGCGAGCTCCCAGAATTGTCGATGCCGAGCTGCTGTTCAAGCTTAACCACTGGTTTCGCATGGCTTTCAAGATGCTGTGGGTATAGTTGAGGCGCCAGCGCAGAGTTCATTGCCCTGGGTGATGCTGACGCATCCATATGTAGACTGGGTCACGGGCCGGTTTTGCCACTGGATCCAATATATAGTCTAAAATTCAGAGCATCAATGGGGCCCTAAGCCTTATAAGGCTTCCTGACATGCGATTCGTGACGCAATCCAGCTTCCATGTGAAGCACGGCAAGACTTTCGTCCTAGACTTATGACTCATCACCGGCATCCAGACACGTTCTTGCGATTCTCGGCTAAATGTGACAGGCACTTGCAGCCGGGCCCCCTGCACCCTGTATATGCGACTTTCGCGATGACGAGGGTACCTTACGGCCCGCAAAGTGTCCGCTGCTACGGACAGGGCGGGATGTCGAGCGGAGCGCTGGGTGTCATCAGGATGCACGCAGTTATCAGGACGGGGATTCGACAACATTGGCGGGTTACTGGGTTGCTGGCTACGTGGCCATGCGTCCTGCGATTTTTGGCATTTGGGTTTTCTCTGCCCTTGCCATTGAGGTCCACATGTAAATTTCACACATACTTCCTTCAACGCGCCCCGGGGATCATGCAGCCGCTTTGGGACACCGCAAGCATAACATTCAATCCTCACGTGTTTTCTTGTGCAGACTTGCTTACAGCTTATAGCGTTTCACGCCGTTCCTGCTTCGGAGTGAGTTGCAATTGTTGTCGGCAAGAGCGCAGACACACCACGCATGCATTAGGTATTCAATAGTTGAGGGAGCAGTGTTGGTCACCTCTTGGACTTCCGTTCCAAATGGCATAACACACAGTGCCTGGCATTGGATACTGCATCGGTCTCAGCAGCCCTGGGCCAGTCTGCACCCTCAAGATCGCAATAAGCCTGTCTGGTTTCAAGGACATCTCTAGCATCCAGCGAGAGAGGAAAGGAAGCATAGCTCCATCAGCACGAACGAACGGGTAACTGCATGTGCTGGGGAAGGTTTTGCCAGCTCGTGCATCGGCGTGAGAAGGAAAGAGAAAGCACAGCGTCTTCCTCCTCTGAGAACCGCCCCTGCAGTCTTTGGCGGGCCCCGTGGCCGTAGTTGGTGCCGGTTTTGGCGGCGTCTCTGCGGCGCGGGGGGGAAGGGGAGCTGTGGGGCTCATGGACAAGGGCTTAAGAATTCGGCTAATGGCTTTCGTTGGGTTTCAGAATGAGTCTTAACAAGCTCCTACCAGGGTCCGAAGTTCCTGTGGCGCAGTGCATCTCAGTGTCGGTAGTGCAGGCTGATGAAGTCTTTGGCGTTTCAATCGGAGTTGCTTCACGTGACATGAACAATGGCTTGCATGGCCCCACCTTGTTCTTGAAGGCCCGTGAGTTGCAGCGACGGGCAATCGATTTTCGTATCTTCGAGCAGTGCTGGGCTCATGCTATCAGAGCTTGGACAGAGCCGGCTCAGTCTTGACATTTTTGTCGGAGTTCGCGGACATCTTCCATCTTCGAAACATCAATGGCATGAGCGAGATCGTAGGATATCAAAGGTCACATGGGTCACGCTAGGACTAGGATTACGGCGGATTATTGCTGTTCGGCCATTGCTGGCGACCCTGCCTCGGTGTATGTGTGATGTGTGTGTGTGTGTGTGTGTTCTGTTTTAGCAGCGTGAGAGACGAGGCAGTAAGTATGGAACCCTGAACCCATCCGTCACACCGTACTGTCAGCATGGTGACGTGCCTCCTGATTCAAGAAGCTTGTTACCAGTAGACACATTATCCGACGCACTGCCATGGATTTTATATTGAGACAAACCTCGGCTGAGCATACACCGACTTCCACCATTTTACTTTGCAATTCTCGTCCGCTAAGCCCAGGACCCAAGCCATCCCTTTTTGCAAGCACCGATTCCTCGAGGTCTAGGGAGGTGGGAGGCTACTGCCGTTCTAGAAGTTGCGAAAGACTCAAGGCTCAAGGCCTCCCAAGAGTAGGTAGGAGTCAACTGTGCTTCCGTATGTTGCCCCGATGAGTCACCGCAGAGCTTTCTCAGCATGGTGAGCTCAGGCAGGGAGCACTCGGTGGTTCCTGGCGTTCCATGGCGAACCGCTCGGAAGCTCAGAAAGCTCTGGCTCTTGCATGTGGTCTTGGTGGAGTTGTGATGATTTGTGTGCCTGTCTGCGTGTCTATGACTGTCTATGTGTGTGTGTATATATATATATATATGTATGCATGTCAGACTTCACTAAGAAATCTCCCGCGAGTCGCGCCCTGAACAAGCCAGCAGTTCCAGAGGCACTTCGAAAGCCCAGATTGAGCGGGGCACCTACCACCTGGGCCTCGCGGATGGCGAGTGTCCGGCCCGGGACTTTAAGGGTTTCTCCAGTGCAATGTCAAACTCCAAGGCTGAGCACGTCGAAGGCACAGCGATCTGCTTTTGCAATACCTTGCACTGAACATTCTCAGGCCCGCAGCAAACTCAAGCAGACAGGCACCACCATGGTGCCGAATCTATCCTGTCTTGCCTTGGTGTGGGCTAGGATGCCTTGCCGAATCTCGTGCGTGCATGGCCACAGTCAGTAACACCGCGAAAGAAAGACTTCGATGTAAGGGGCTTCAACACCGTGGGAAAAAAACGATCGTGAAAGCAAGACATGTTGATGTCAAAGTGTCTGCAACTTAGCAAATTGATACCACAAGACTGGCTTAAATCATTTAAGCTCCAAGTCCACGACCTTCGACGCTGAGGCCAAGCTGCCGAACTATACCCCGAGAGATGCCATGCTGGATCATGCTCAGGCTGTGAGGGTCATGACCGTCCGAAAGCATGAACTGAGCACTCAGTTTCGGTTGGGCTCGAACTTTCGACTCATGCTATGCTTGGATGGTCAAGCAGTCCCACACGGACAACGCACTACCTGCCAACCTCACGTGCAACCAGCCCCTCTTTCCTTGTAGTGCCAGGAATTCGCGTCGCATCACCGGATCCTTGACCATTGCCGTGCTTCGGCCGCAGCTTTTTGCACGGGAGAGTGTCCACGACGCCGTGTTCTGGCAGTTCCAGTTAAGTATGGGATTTCTTTCAGGTTGTTGTATTCGATGTAACAAGCATGAAGAGCGTTGCAGCATTCTTTCCTTGCTTGCGCTCTGGCTCTCTTGCTCGCTCGCCTGCTCTCGCTCTCTCTATCTCACTGCCTGGCTCCCTCCCTCCCTCCCTCCCTCCCCTCCCTCCCTTGCTCCAAAATGACACCACAGTGTCTGCCGAGCCACCTCACCTTTAGTTTTACTCGAAGTGCGCCTTTGTGAGAAGAGACCTGCATGCTTCTGTCGCCGACAACTTCTTGACTCGTACAACCACCGCTAACTGCATGCAAGCGCCTGAGCGGCTTTGTAAAAAACTTCCTATGAGCCACATGTTCTTTCCCGCATCCATCCATCCGTGTTTCGCAACTCTGCAGATTTCCCGATTGGAAGTTCAAAGTTGAGCCAGGTTATCATACGATATGAAAAGCAGAGGCTTGGTTCAGGTGGGTCCCGAATCGGCACCGTATAATTTCTTCATACTTCACAGGTAGCCTTGCAGAGCTTGCTGGACCCCGGGCCTATGATCATATGCGAGGTTTCCGTGCTGAAGTGGTTCAAGTTGACGAGGAGGCCAGAGCATATTGCATGAACTTGAGCTGTTTTGGCTAGACTTGGCAAGATCGATTGCCATTCCTGCTGCCGCCCCGCGTGCTCCTCCGCGCCTCAACAGCTAAGCGACCCAAACGATTGCAGGCTCCCGGCAGCTACAACGTGCAGTGGCAGTCTCCGGATGGACTCCGGCATCAAGAAGGCCGCAGCAAGAGCTCCACCGCTACATCCGCTACATTACAGTTGCACATACGGCTTCGAAGCAGGATGTTACTAACATGTTCAAAGCGAAGAACTGCACTAGCTCTGAGCGGCTTGGGAACAAAGACACCAGCAGAACAGTGTCTGCGGCCAGGCCCCTTTGCAGCAGACGCTCGGCAAGCAGGAGAAAGAGGGTAGCGGTGGCAGCGGTGGCTCACTGCAGATCCAGACTGTAGAGCAGCTATGTGCCTGAGGTGGACTGACATTTCATGTTGGTCCGCCCCGTCGTCCGTGACCTGACAGGTCATGCTCTATCCGGGCTTCTTGCCGAAGCCACGAGACGAGCCCCTTCCCGAGGCCTTGTCCGATACAATCCGTGCTGATGCGCAATCGTGGTCCAAAGGCGTCCGGGCTCAGGAAGCAGTCGGTGCATTTCCAGCGCCACCGCTGCTCCCACCACTTTTCCGATCAGAGGTCGCAGATGTCGCAGCGAAGCCTCACAGCATCACCCGTTCGCCCTCGGACACTGACTAGAAAGATCGAGAATGAATGTCTACATGATACGCACCGGCTGCAAACAACGGAAGACCGAATCGAGCATGTAAAGACCCAGCGAATATGCTAGGCCCGGATCGCTGACTGGGATCTTCACAACAATCCGAAGGATCATTGTCATCGGTTCAGCAGACATTCGAGGAATTCATTCATTGCGCTGCAGGAGTAGGATGGGTTCACTGGTCGGCAGCGCGGGAGATCAAGTTGCTATTGGAAACCGTACGCACCAACGACATAAGCAATTGCATTTTTCAATCCCGAAGCATCTAGCAAGCTTCGACAGCTGCCACTTGTTTCAGCACTCCGCAATCTTTACAGCAAATTTCGATAATTAGGATGTGACGCCTTGTGGGCATATCGTGACCAAATGGCGTGTAGTTACCTTCATGTGCATTCCGTGCGTTCTTGTCCCCTTATGTTCTCAACGACCCGTTCAGCAGCCTGACTACGGCCGCGGAGTGGCATCTCACAATGTAGCATCAGCGAGGCTCGGGTTGAGCAAGTACCGCTGGAGAAACGAACCGATCAACATCATAGATGTGCGAAATTCGCGAAGGCCAGCCTGGGAAAGCTCGCATCTACATTGACCCTTGCTGTGTCAGGAAGGGCGCTTCCAGGGCCGAATTGCTTTGGGTGTGGCTGACGACCTGTTGGACTGGAGAGACTGGAGGCTGGAAGTCTGGAAAAATTCTCGTTTATTTAAGGTAGTCGAAATTCCAGGAACAGTGAGCAGTAGGGCTCTGCTGAAGTCAGAATGTTAACAGACAGTCAGGGACGGTGAAACCATAGATCGGCATGCGGCATACCCTTCTGTGGGTGGTAGTGGTAGTAGTAGTAGTAGTAGTAGTAGTAGTAGTACGAGTAGTACTACTAGCAGTAGGAGTAGTAGTAGTAGTAGTAGTAGTAGGAGGGTTCCCCGCCCCCCCGGTGCCACGCCAAGACCTATCATTTTTCAGACTTCGTGTTGTCATTTTTTTTTGCAGCGTTTTGTCTCCTTTTTTTTGAAAATTTGGAAAGCGTGTGGGTTTGTGCTCATTTTTTGTTGAATGCTGGTGGTATTAACAGCACTCGTCTTTGAGATGGTTTTCGATTTTTTTTGCTGTTTTTGGAGGTCTGGATGTTCGTGTCCAAAACTAGCGATCAGAATGAAGCTTTGTTTTGTCTAATTTGTTGGTGGTCTTGCTGCGCATCCAAAGCGTTTGAGAACGGAGCATTCATGCCCAAAACCTAAGAACGTCCATGGTGTAGTGCGTTTGAGAACAGAGCATCCATGCCCAAACCCTAATGGCGCCCATGGCCTAGTGCGTTTGAGAACATGCTTCGCGACGGGTGTCGCACCAAGCGGGGGAAGGCTAGTAGTAGTAGTAGTAGTAGTAGTAGCAGTAGTAGTAGTAGTAGTAGTAGTAGTAGTAGTAATAGTGGTAGCAGTAGCGGTAGCGGTAGGGTAGTGGTGGTAGTAGTGGTAGTAGTGGTAGTAGTGGTAGTAGTGGTAGTGGTATAGTGGTAGTGGTGGTGGTAGTAGTAGTAGTAGTAGTAGCAGCAGCAGCAGCAGCAGCAGTACTAGTAGCACTAGTAGTAGCAGTAGCAGTAGTGGTAGTAGTAGTAGTAGTAGTAGCAGCAGCAGCAGTATTAGTGGCACAAGTAGTACTAGTAGTACTGGCAGTACTATGACATCGTGCCGGGAAGCTGGAACCACCAATGTGGTACGGTACAGTCATCTTGGTCATCTTGCGCGGGGGTCAAGATGACCGGGGCATCTTGCAGTCTTGGTCAGGTTGCTCCACTTGCCCGACTAGTGACTAGTTGACCAGGTAGACCAAGATGGCTGGTCAGGTTGCGCCTCTTCTCAAGATGACCAAGATTGCTGGTCAGGTTGCACCTCTTAGAGGTTCCAGATTCCCGGCACACTGATTACATTAGTACTGGTAGTACTAGTCGTCTAGTAATACAAGTAGTAGTAGAAGTACTACGCAGTAGTACTAGTAGTACTCTAGGCCCACGCGTGGTCGTGGTCGTCGGAGTAGGAGTAGAAAGCGATTAGATGCGATGAGTTTGTCGATACAGTCTAGTACAGGTCTAGAGTTTGGAGTTTGCGCCTTGGCTGCACAGCGGCCAGAAGATGTTTCTCCACCCTCGGGTGCAGGGCACTTACCGTGTGTTCTCTTTCATTTCACTCCTGTGTCGTCTCTACTGATGCACCCGGCAAGAAGAGAACTGTGGGTCAAAACAAGCTGTTTTGCAGGCACGTGCTCATCCTTGGGCACGGCGCATTCGCCGTGGAGAGCACACGGACCGCCGCGGAGGCGGCACCCTAGACGGCACGGAATGAGTTTTTAATGTAATGCCCGAAAGCCACAACCCGCAACCCCCCTCAAGACTGAATTGATCAAGCCCTTACTCAGCTTACTCCACGGACCCAAAGGTTTTGCGCGGCACGACACTCCAGCGATGTCTCCTAGTCATGCCGCAACGTTTGCTGATTTCGTCTTGTCGGGTTAGCATGAGTCTTCTGCAAGGGCCAAGGCGCAAGGCGTGCAAGACATATCAATATTCGCAGGATTGCCAGGCCCGCACCAAGGCAAGTGTAAAGCTCGGGAGGACAAAGTTTCTGGCCTTCTTGTTCCGCCCCTCGCGATCACTTTCGATCGATGTCCGTCCGGCACACGAGACGGTTCGTCATCAGCCCGACGGCATGTGCTTTGAGCCTTGTCAGCTTTGCATGCTTGTTAACTTCTGCAGTCTCGCCATCATAGCTTTGACGCAGGCAGGAGCAGCTTCCGTGACCATGTTGTGCCGAAGGCCGTGCCGTCTTTTCTCCGAGTATAGACTTGCCCATACACGGAGTACATGCAGATACATTTGTCGGGATCCGCAAACTCGACACCGTCGCACTCAGATTCCCATGCCTTGGATCAGAAACCAAGACCCCGAAAATTCTGAAACGTCGGCCAAAATCAACGTCAGCGGCATTTGTCATCAGTCAGTCTTTCTGCAAACCGCACATTGTCCTGTCCCAAATCCTCAACAAGAATCGCTTCATTCTTCGAGCGTAGGCAAATGCATGTCCAAGGGATGGATGCCTTGGAGTTGACTTGCTTGAGAATTTCAAGCAGAACCTCAACCTTGCCATACACGGCAAGGCACCAAAGTTTCTTCTGTTGCTGCTTTTGCTACTGCTGCTACAACTCTGCTGCTGCTGCTACTACTACCACTACCACTACCACTACGACGACCACTACGACGACGACTACTACCACTGCTACCGCTACTAACACTACTAGCACCACCACCACCGCCGCTGCTACTACTACTACTACTACTACTACTACTACTCCTACTACTACTACTACTACTACTACTACTACCCACAACTACCACTGCGACGAGGGCTACTGCTGCTACTACCGCGACCACGACGGCCGATTACTCGTGCTCGCGCTCTAGCTCCTCCTCAGCCTCCTCTTCCTACTGCCACTGCTACTGCCATAGCTGCTGCTCCTGCTTCCCCTGCTATTGCTACTGCTACAGCTGCTGCTGCTGCTGCTGCTGCTGCTACTGGCTGCTGCTGATACTGCTAGTACTGTTGCTGCTGCTAGTGTTTCTTCGAGGACGACATGTCATGTTGATGACAGCCACGACGACGACGACGACACCGACGAACTACTTGCACTAGTTTTGCGACTGCAAACACGGCGACAACGGCTGCTGCTGCTGCTGGTACCAAAAGCACCACCACGACTTGGTACGACCACGCACCAGCACTGCCATAGGTCCTGCCTTTGATCGTACTGATGAAGGGGATGAGGCCCGGCAATGAGGAATCGGAGGATGTGGACTCAGATCCCCGGGATGCTGCTGCTGATGATGGTGATGACCATGACGATGACGATAATGATAAGGTCTGGTAAGGATGATGATGAGGAGCATGATGATGATGATGATGAGGAGGACGATGATGATGATGTTGATGATGATGATGATGACGATGTAGTAGTAGTAGTAGTAGTAGTAGTAATAATAATAAACCATGGCAGTAGAGGTTTGGGTGCTATGGCGTCGGCGACGATGACAACCAGCGTCACCTTTAAAGGGTCGTCATCGTCATTGTCGTCGCAGCAGGACCCACAACAGCAGCATGCATCATTGAAACACCAACGGCTGAAAGCTAAAGACACAGGCATCGCCAACAGCCCGAGTAAAGTCCTGCCGATTCGTCAGCTCAGGCGGAATCTAGTCCTTCCACGTGCTCCAGCCTCGGAAAGAGCCGTGCAAGTAACCAGCTGGTTAAGGTCGAGTTTGTGGGCTGGCAGTGGCTAAACCCGCCGGCTACATGTTCAAGTGTGAACTGAAGATCTGACACCGAAGGGTTCGTTACGCGGACTAGTAGCACGGAAAGGTTGATGTTTGGGGTTCCTACACGGCCTGCTACTGTGGGCTGGAGCCGATGTTTGCACTTCGGGGCAAACGGACACTTCCGAAATCTACCGCATGCCAAACGACACCTGAAACTCTAGGCCAAAAATGTCGACCCTTAGAGTGTCCGCCGTCTCTGCTGAGGTCGCAGCCTGGTTGGTGGATGGAAGCGGGCCTGGTGCTGTGGTGGTCTCGGAGTGGTGAGGTTTGTGTCTAGGTTGAGGAACAAGACGGATATCAGGAGCAGCGGCAACTGTACTAGTAGTCACATTACCGAGAATGGAAGGAATACAGCTGCAGCAGTTGAACAGCATCATCAATCACTAAGGGTAGTACCTACGACTATAGTGAAGTCGAGTCATGCTAAGCCAACAGGGTGCAAGGACTTCAAAGCCACCATTGGAGAAAGAGCCTAACCAACTCAAGCACCCATACAGGCACAGAAGTATCATGTCCCAGCTGTGTTGTCATCCTCCGGTTTCGTAGTTTGTAAGTGAGTCAGACGTCCGATACGGCTCGTGTCTATTCATCTTTGCCTTGATTGTAAGGGCCTAAGGGCCTAAAGGCCTAGAGTACCTGTGTGCATGGGGCACTGCAGGAAGTTGGAGCTTCGATTCCGCGAATGCTGATCATTGCACTCCACGCCAGAATACACCGGAATTCAGTTGCACACAGCACTTTGAGGAGCTCGGCATGGATGCGCTGCTACACATCACGCAGCCGATGTATGAGCTCGTGGGCTTGTCTGCGCAGCGCAAGGAGGAAGCCTTAAGCAGGCCGGCTTGGGGCCAGGCAAGGTTTAACCTTTCCACCAGAGTTGGACGCCACCCAAAGCCCCTAATTAGATATATTCTTTGTACATGTAGTGTGCAGGGACAGCAAAACTGGCGACTCTTCGCATCCCACCAGCCAGGAGTATTCTGGCTGATCCGAGAGGAAGGGTCATGTCGCCCCTCGGTGACTTGCAACTTACGGCTGTGGATCCTTTTCTGTTCTTTCTCTTAACTAACTCAGATGCAGATGCTTGCTGTTGTAGTGGGGGTGACCATTGAGAAGCGGTCCAAGACACTGAAAAAGTTCTAGGTTCCACGTGTCAGAAGTAGCATGCACTGAGGCAGTCCAACCCGGCCATCTCCGATGTCTACTTTCTGTTGCAGGCACAGAAACTTCCCAGAGCAGTGTTAGCGGCAAAGTCGAGAGGGAGTCCGTAGTTGACGAGACGATCTCCTACCGAAAAGGTAGCATAGCCTATCATAGTTGCCATCTGGAGATTTGCTGGATTTTCCTGCCTGCCTGCAGAAACAGGCCCTTCATGTCATGAAGCAAACAGCATGCAAACTTACAAGGCCTGACTTACTGGTTCTACAAAAGCTTGGTGCGAAATCCTACGAGCCATGGTCATGCGCTCCTTCATGCCATGGTCGAGTCTAGCGGCCTTTTGTACATCAGTCGCGTGCAACGCGCCAGGCACTTGGAGTGTTGGAGGTCCGGGCCGCAGGGGTGAGGGAGATGTAGGTTGTTGATTGATGTTTCTAGCTGGGAGCTCAATGAGTGCAGTGTGAAAGCGTGCTGAAAGTTTACTTCAGGGCATGGAGAGATTTAGGCCTCGCGGCCCAGAAATTGTATGACACCCGCGGTGAACACTAGAACAGTCGACAGCAATTCCTCCACTCGATCCGGTTAAACCCCGGACAGCGTAGTCTCATAAGTGCCGAGCATTATGCAGGTGCTCGTCGGCCAACTCGCCGAGTTGCTTCCCAGAAGCGCCAGGCTGAGTCTGGCGCAGGCGCGGACACCAAGCTCGCTTGAACCCAGTCGGAAAGCTGCCCAAGTACTGGTAGTTGCGATGAATCTTCTTGGTGTGGCTTCAGGGTATATGGATTCAAAACCTCCAGTCAGCCTGATTCCAATACCGTTACCGTTTATGCCCATGCATAGCTACACCAATACGGACACGAAAGCTCCGTACCAAATAATGACAAATCTGAAGGAAGCAGGCGGACGCTCTCGCACCGTGGACTGCAGCATGGTGGTGAAATGCTTGGGCTGGGCACTCAGATTGAATTTCTCGCTTAAGCCGGAGAACAAAGACCGCAGAAGACTGACTGAGTTACTTTATAAACGTCGAAAAGTGTTCGTTGCGTGCAGGATGCTGGGTTTTCCGGTGGTCCGGCAATAGGCTACAGCTACATAGCTCGAAAACACAAGCAGCCCACCAGCCGCAGCAGAGGCAGTTTCACAGGCCGCCCAACTCTATCGTACCGGAGTGCCGCCAATAGATAGATTGCAACAGTTGATTCATTGACCCGTCTGGAGGTAAAACCTTTGCAGGGTACAAGTTTTGCGGGGGGTTCTCAGAATCGCCGTCCTGTGGCCCGAGGCTGGGATCACTCTGCGCAGGACGCCTTAAATCGGGGTCTACAGGCAGGCTTTCGGCACAGGAATATCGCACGAACTTCAGACTGCAGGATCTCCGATTGAGGCTAAAGTTTCTCAGGCTCCGGAGTGCTCTGTGAAGCGAAGACTCCGGATTCGGCAACACCGACGTCCCGGATCCCGGCAAATGCGTCACAGCGAAGCCGTAGCCTGGCGGCAGGTGCGGAGCCTGCGAGGCCTTGGACCCTGTTGAACAGCCCAGGACTTGCTTCAGGGAGTCATGGGGCACGTGTGTTTGCGCTGTCCTCTCTTAAGACCATGAAGCAGCCCAAAGAACTCGGCAGAATCGATATTCGGTTTGTACCTTCTAGCCACCCACTGTCTGGCTAATGGAAGGCCTTTAAATCTCAAACATGGCACCACTAGTAATAATCATGTAGGATGCCGACAACACAAGGCCTGGTCTTGTAATATCGATCTTGCACTGTGGGATAGCCAGCGAAGCGCCCCGCGAAATTGTAGGAAAAGACACAGCTCGGAGCGGTGACCGGCATGTGAGCACTTGTATGCTGAAATGCGACGGAACTGAATCAATGCACCTTTGCCCCTGTTGTGCCGGTTGGGGTGCAGCTTTTGGTACGTTTCCTGAAAGGAGTCTCCGTTGGCTTGCCGCTTGTTGTATTTCGGTTGTTGTATTCTGGGTCAGTGTTCGGTCGCTTTGCCACATGTGAAGTTCAAGACAAGCTTTGGGTCGATTCTCCAGTCCCTGCTTCAAAGAACACTGCCCGCCATAGTAGCGACGACAGCCAACAGGAATGCCGCTTTACGAAACGATGAGGATGAAATCAACACATATCGATGCAGCATTTCGCGAAGCTACATCTCTGTTGACAATTCAAGTTTCGGCCGATCGTGCAAATGAAACATGCCACGCTGATGATCGATTGGTTGACCAACACATGGGAATAATGAAGTCAAGTTGGGTTTGGTTAGTACTGTATCATTCCATCTGCGTCCTGCTGCATCCGTTTAGCGCAACAATAGTACGGAGCATCAGTGGCCAAAGCCTTTGCGCAGACCCCATCACAAACAATGTGAGAATAAAGGCTTGCAAGAATGACGACAGGTTTCTGGATCAACGGGGACCCACGGCGCTTCGTCTTCAAGTTCGCTTCGCGGACGGACGGAGCAAGGAGCGCTTGCGTGCCATCACAGATTCTTCGTCGAATGACCGGGTTAAGGCATTACCAGTTGCTATTTGAGTTTTTGGGCTTAGCGTCGAGAGCCTGAGGTGTGTGAATTTTTTCGCGAAACACGATTTGCACATGCTGAATGCAACACAGATGAGCTCGTCAGCCATGGGAGGGTAATTTCCAATAACTAGCTTCTGAATGCATTGGTGTTGCAGCTGCAATCTTGTTTTTGGACGCTTGCCTCGAAGCTTGAGGAGTCTTGCAACTCTGTCCTTTTTCGTCCAGCTGCAGAATGCACACGAGGCCTTCTTCTACTTCCTGCAGAGGCTCGGCCATACAGCTGCCGAGGGTTTTCTTTGTCCGAGGCCGAGGCTTAGGGAACCCGCAGGGGCACCCGCACGGCGGGCATACTGCAGAACTCTGTAAAACGAAACTCACTGCCTGGGCCGTGGCGTGGGCAATGCTGGGCTTGGGAGGCAACGTGGACATCAAGTGTGCTTCCTCATTCATCTCTGATTTGCAAACTGTGCATAATTATGTCATACTATGCACCCATTTCTACACACCCTGGTGACTGTGATCTCCGACAGTGCAGCAACGCGAAACCCACCTCACACCACCAACGTCAACAAGCACTTCGCCCCACCAGCATGGAATGAACGTAGAGAGAAAGAGAGAGAGAGAGAGAGAGAGTATGGATACCTTTTTTCTTTCCTCAGACCGAGCATCCATACTTTCTTATACCCCTACAAAGCCCCGAAACAGGGGTGCGCCTCACGGCGCGGGGTGCCTAACTCGCACCTTATGCCCCGGAGAATAGAATAGAATAGAGCATGAGGAAGAGGCTTTTTCTTAACTAGGGGGACACGACTGGGAGTAGCAGACAGCTATTCTCTATAGGCATTACAGCGTTTTCAGATATCACAGTGCTTCCTAGATATCATAGTCGCCCTACTGGTCTAAATATCATAGTGGATATGCCACACCCAGGACTCGAGACCCCGTAACATCTCACGTCCCCTCAAAGCCCCATAACATATGGGGGGCCACTAGGCCGGGGGACCTAGACAGTCCCCATGCCCGATGAAAGAAGCTCCTCATGCCCTGGAGGGAGGGAGAGACAGAGCGAGAAGAACCACACCCCTGGCGAAAGAAAGAGGTGCGCCACCTATGCACGCACAAGTTGTGTGGCGCCTGTAGTTGAAGCATGTTCTTGCCTTCCAAACCGTTTCAATCTTAAATCAAAGTTGTGGAGGGACAAACTCGGATAGATTCCCATGCATGCTCCAGAGCGGGGTTTCGAAGAGTTAAGTGAACAAAGGTTTCCATGGGTGCATACTGTACCGAATCTTGCCTCAAGCTTGTTTTCCATTCCCTGGACCAGTCCCTGAAGCCCGGAAGAAGAGAAGAAGACAGCGTGACTCGACCAATCGGGATGCGACTGAGTGCGACTTAAGCTGAGGTGCGGAAGCTCTCAGAGCACAAGGCTCGTCAAAGTTGTCAAGTCGACAGCTTTGAAGTTTGAAGGGTGCACCATACCACTGAACTTCCAAGTCTGCACGTTTACTGAGTTTACTGACTCAATGCGTTTGGCATGCCAGCGATTTCTGAAGCTCTGCGTGTCAAGATACCCAGATAGTCAGCAATGCTGAATGCAGACCATTGACAAGCCGAAGATGCAGCAGCTTGCCCCGACCATCATACTACTCATTGCCGAAATCGCTGTTCCCTGCATGCATGGCCCAGATATTTTGTGGCTTCGATTGGACTCTCAAGAGTACGGTACTGTTTGGCATAGGGATGCATAGAGCATAGGCGTGGCCTTCATGAGCTCGCAGCGGTGCGTGGTGAGCTTCACTGACCGCACTGAGGAGTGCCCAGCCGTCCTGAAAGAGCTCACAAACTGCATAGCAGACCTGGAAGGTGCCAAGAGCCGAAGATGCAAGAAGACCAGCTTTGTAGCTTCCAAGGTCTTAGCTTTCGCAGGCGTGAACTACACTTTGCCTAAGGAAGAAGACGGCGGGCTTCTTGAAGAAGCAGCTCGCGTTCATCATAAAAATGATCGGTGGCATGTTTGCAAACAAGTTCTCGGAGAACAGAAAGTCGCAACAGGGTTTCAGAAGACACTCCTTTCACCTTGTGAGGCTCAATTCCTAATCACGCCGGTCCTGAGGGGAAATGGGTTCCTGTGCAGCCCAGCAGATCTCGACCTTCGAATCATCTCCGCTGCAAGGTTTGCTTCTCGCCGACTTCGGTGTTCAGAAGCTGCCACCTAAGCTGGGATATATTGGCATCTTTGCTGAACGAGAAGTTGCCGAAGTATTGCACAAAAGTGGGGTCGAACATTCATTATGTGCTGAGGGTTTGATTGGGCATGCTCCGTCTTCTGCTAGAGCGAACGTCACGGCAAGCCTGGATTGGCGCAAAGTGTTCTAAGCAGCTGAGGTATCGTGCAGAAGTATGTGGCCGACAGCGACCGCATCCTGCGTGAAGCATGCTACGGCAGCTCAGCAGCACCACGAAGCCAGGAGCTGAGAGGTTTGCTTTGGCTCCTCTAAGGAGTGCTGTTGGAGCTGTCGTTATGGCTCGGCGACATCACAGAGTTCACCAAGACCATGGATGAGCCGCAGAGGAAGGAGGCTCACCCTTCAGGTTTTGAGCACCACACACGGCTGACATGGCGCAGCTCCAGGTCGCAAAGCGTCTGGAGGAAGTCAAGGAATCCGGCAAAGCTGCAAAGCGCGGCTACAGAGGCAGATCGCCTGATCCAACGACATGACACTTTTTCGAGACAACTTTCCATGTAGCCGTTACCAAGGGGATGCCGCTGCTCCACAGGCAGCCAGTGTCAGTGCAGGCTTCCATGCAGCTGTTCATCCAGATTTGATCACTGCACATGTATTGCCGACAGGTGATCTCCTTGGCAAAGTCGACCCGTTCCTCAAACTTCCCAAAGGAGAATCCCTGTTGATGAGTTCATGACATATCTGTCGCGCCCCTCACTGGCTTTCGGAGCTACTTCCCCAAGTATCGCAACTGGCTGTGAGTGCCGGAACGTCGCAAAGCGTAATCACATGGCGGGTAGCTAGCACCCTCCAAGTCAAGCTGAAAACAAGCCCGTCTTTCCAAGCGAGGATGGTGCATCACCAGCGTCACCTCCATGGAGAAGTGGAAGGAAAAGCTTCAGCATCTGCAGGTCACCGGGCCGTTGGAGAGACTTCTCGAGGAAATAGTGCGTGGCGGTGTTCCTAAGGTGTTATCCGATATCTTGGACCACCCAGCTGAGCAGCACCGTCTCGCGCCGGGCGACGGCTATTCTTCCCTGGTCCCGACCATCCAGCGGATGATCAAAGGCATTTTGGCTTCAGAGTAGGAGAACCACATCGTTTCTTGCAGCACCCGCGCAGAACCGACTTTTCCGTCTGTTCCTAGGCAGGAAAGGGGACTGGCAGGCTGAAGCCTGCCGGACAGCTTCACTGTGACTGTAGTTTGGCTCGTCACGTGCTAGCATCTCCAAGGTGAAAGCAACATTCCAGTGCTCACCGAAGTAGCCAAATGCAACTTCGGCCGCGACCAGCCATTTGTGCTCCGTTCTGCGAACGGTTCAGCGTCACAAGGCAAACCTAGAACCGGTATGCTCGCAGAGCTGATGCTTGGTCTCAGGCATGGGCTTGATCTCCAAGGGTCTCCGGCGAAGTTTCGAGAAGCACGCCAAAACGCTCTTGCCCGTCGCTCTGACTCGGATCACCGACAAGAGCAGCTATGCTGGATGCTTTGGGTACACACTAGCAACGCGACAAGGCGTGATACCCTTCGTTACTGGAATCCGGTGTGGAAGTTTCATACAGATGATAACAAGTCTAGGCTAGTCCAGGTGTCTCTCAGCCTGTTCGCAGACTGCTTATGAGATTGCTTTTGACTCAGATCCCTCTTGGTGTAAGCGTTATTGCAGAACAACTGCTGTGGATTCTGGCTGAGAGCATAACCACTCATGCTGTGTTGTCATCGGCGATTTGAATCCAAGGCGTTTGGAAGCACAACTGCCTCATTGACAGGGTAGAGCAACTCTTGTGGTCCATGCCTTACGAGGTTCTCCTGGAGGACAGGCCGAAGCCAAGAAAAGAAGACGGATTGATTGTTCTGCAGCATCAGTAGAGGGCACACAGCGACGAGCTGGCAGGAGCTTCCGCCTTACATTGGCTCCAAGAGCTTCTCGACTCCAGAAGTCCTTGCCCGGACACATGTTCCTAGCAGCGTTTGGCAGTGCAATGGCAAGAGCCCGGACACCAGTTTTAAGACAGATCAAGATGGATGGCAGAGAGAAGGTACAGATGGCACAGCCTGTTGTAGCCGGGATTCCCAATCGATCCGAACCTCTTCTTAACCGGCCTGCTATCGAAACCAGCTCAACTTCGAAACCCGGACAAAATGAACAATGAAAACCTGAACCCTCCGGTCACAGTGACAGTGATGCGCAGCAGTGGTCTGAGAAGATATAAAGGCCTGGGGACACAAAGCCCGTGGGGCAGTTTGAAACACGCTGTACTCTAAGATACCCCGGGGAAATGCTCCCTTCCAAGCTGTGGACAGACCAAGCCAGCCTTGCCTCCACTTCCACCCATGCGGTCGTAGAAGCTGCTGTGGCACCTCGGTCTAGGTGCATGTCAGCAAGTAATCGCACCTTACAGTGAATCAACCAGTAGCTTGAGAGTTCTTGCGGCTGGACAGGTTTGTTCGTGAAGAAGGAAGCACTGAACTTGTTGCTTCGTGGCTTGGAGCTCCCACAAGTGCCTCAGACTTGTTCCAGTGAAGATGGAAGCATGCACCGACCGAAGCCGAAAGGAGGGTTGAGAAGCCATCAGGAACACGAATTCAGAAATCAGTAGAGGTCTGTGTGTGTGGATGTGCGCGGTGCAAAACTGCAGTCCGGCTTCAAGGTTCTCGAGATCTACCCTGATGCAAGTCAGCGGTTTTTCGCAGCGGTCGCGACTTTGACACTGCCACTGATCGATGATTCCGACAACACTGTGCGACAAGAAGCGGCCAAAGTGCTGGCAAGACTGGTGGTCCAGAATAAGGCTTCGAGTGATCTTCCTATTGTTGTAGACCGAATTCCTTCTCATCGTCGAGCTGTCTTCGATGACGAGTTGAAGAAGATCTCCAAAGATCCATTGCCGACAACCGCGCCCAGTCCTTCACCCAGCATCATGCCTGAGCTGCGCTCGGTACCAACACCACTCTCACCTCCAGGGAGGCGCACCTCACCGCTGAAGCAGCGGCTCCATGCCGTCCCTGTGGAGTCACCGAAGGCCCCTTCGGAGTCTGCACTTCCTAAGTCCACACCACCCTTGGCTCAGGGTATCTCGCCGGCCTCTCCCGACATAAACCCCACGGGCAGTCCTTCAGAGACACCCTTGATGAAGAAGATGGCAGAGGAGATCCGCAACTTGCGCTTCAAGGCCGGTCTGTGCCTTAGGGCGTGGACTCAGACTCATGCAGTTGAGTCTTCTCTGCTGGCCCATGCAGACTTGGTGGCACAGGTCAAGCAGCTTGAGATGGCCGCTTTGTCGCACCTGGTCGTGGACACACCAAAGACTTGCTCGGAATTACTGGTAGCTACGTTCAGCGTCAGCTCAATCGCAGGAGCGGACCCAAACGGAAGTGCTGTCACCGGCCCCGGTCGCGGGCGGGCCGGGCGGGGCTTCAGCCGGCCCAGTCATCAGCAGGCGAGGGCACAACGGCCAGTTTGCTCAGCCCTGAAAGTGTTATCATCATCTGACTCTGTTTTCGGCTGCCATGTGTGGTTCAGCGCAGGCTTAGGTTTTATGAACCAGTTCGAAACACCGCATACTTGTACAAGGAGCACTGCATCAGTCAGTCACTTTCGCTTATCATACCAGCATCTGCACGCGCACTTCCCTCCCCTCCAGCTTTCGTGCGATCTGCTTTCAAGTTAGGTGTTGGTTGTTGGGAGTTGGCTTACGAGGCTCCGTGGACCTTCGGCAGAACGGCTGCGCGTTCCTTCTCTAGAGCGCAACGGCCTCAACCTCAGCTTTCGCCAGGTAGCGGTTTCGTGCTTGACAGCCCAGGCCGCGATGCGACACCAAAGCGGGAGCCCAGCACACGCAGGGAAGTGATGACACCGACAAGGCGACAGCCAACACCAACAAGGCGAGAGCCAACCCCGACGCGCCGTGAGGCACCCCTAAGGCGTGAGCCCACACCAACACGGCAGCGTGAGCTCGTGCTGATGGCCAAGGATCCCAGCAGGAGAGATCTCGGGGCTCCAACAAGACGTGAGCAGCGTGAGCCCACCCCCACAAGGCGAGAGGCAACGCCGACGCGACGAGAGCAAACGCCCCGAGCTAGGCGCGATCCCACGCCACCCATGCGGCGAGCACCAACACCCACACGCAGAGATGCTCGGGACATGACGCCGACGAGGCGGCATGCTTTGCACCGTCGATCACCGTGACCTTTTTGCAGACTAAGCTACTAAGCTACCGAGGCGGCACACTCCGGGGACGCCCACCAAACGAGAAGACGCCAGGATGTCTCAGGCAGCGACAGCGCGACCCGCTCTCGACTGCTTCTAAGTGCTGAAGAAGCTTCTCCAACACGGCAGGAAAATTCTTACGACGACACTGCACTTCTCTACGGTGAGAGCTGGGACCTCAGACATTAGCCGCCCCCCAATTGACCTGGCCTGATTCCTTCCGAGAGCGGGCGGGGGCCTGTGGCGAGCCTGCTGAACGAGTCTGAACACGAGTGGGAAGTACTGCGATCGCCGCATGTAGCATTGGATAAGTGAGCGCCTGTGTACTGCGCACCAGCACTCGCGGGCAGCAGGCGTGGTGCCCTTCAACATAGGGCCGACCAAGCTATCGAAGCAGGAGCGATGCTGTTTGGTCATTTGCGGGCAGAGTTGCAGTCGTGGCGGCACTTCGTGGCGGCGAGAGGTTATTGCTCAATCTCTGCACAAGCTGAGCCAAACGCCCTTGTCAATCAAATGCTGCTTCACCAACCGGGGGCTCAAACTCCATGCCCTCTCTGGCCAGGCCCGGCAGCAAAGGGAAAGAAGCCAGTACTGGGGCCAGAGCCTTGACCCTTGTGAAGAAGCTGCGGAGGTCAGGTGTCCGGCCAGACTGAGCCACGCAGCAAGGAAAAAGTTCTCCAGAAGCCAAGGTCCCGAGACGATCCCAGCGGATCATTTGGCATCCCTTCGCGAGCAATGGCGTGTTTGCATTGAGGCAACGATATAAGTGCTTCGGGATCAGGAAGGTTCCAAGACCTGTTGTGGCCAGTCTTCACAGCGACCGGAGCATGCCTGGTTGGCCTTTGTGCCGTGGCGCAAGCGCAGGCAGTGATTACTAAAAGCAAAGGCCCAATGCTTGCAGGATTGGCTTTGGCGCCAGATGTTCACAGACCGCCGCTCGGCTGGACGTGTTGAACTGCGAAGGTTTCAGCCACAAGTCCCCGTGCGTGACCAGCATGTGCATTGAAGCCCTTTGGAGGCTTAGAAGAACAGCTCGCAGGGTTGCAGCATTGGCACAGACAGGCTCCTGCTTTGCACATGACTCGAGCAAACCGCGATCCGCCTCGTCCCGGGGAGGCTGGCGAATACATAGAGATCATCCTCGAAGCGGATGTAGTGGACATGCTTCTCAAGTGGCTCACATGGCCTCTCGGCCTTTCGTGTTGTCTGGCTGCCTTGATGTCGGGCTTTGAGCCAGTGCTGTCCTTCCTCCCAGGATGCTGACGAATGCCAACACCAAGGTAGGATGCGCAATGCAGTCAAACTTGCTTGTGGAGCTTGGACAAGATCATGTTTGAGTTGAGTATCAAGATATGGGTCTGGAGTCCAACAGAGGCACCTCCCAGGTGTTAAGGCCTAGCTGGCTCCTGCGACTGCAGGTATGGAAGCTCGTCTTGGATGTGCTCACGACTCTGCTGCAGAACTTGGAACGTGCCTTGGAGTGTCGTTGGACCCGGCACATTGCAGAATCAACCAGGACCATACAACTGCCTTTGCTCGCGTTTGTTTACAGACATGCCAGGTATGGATGTTCAGCTCACGGATCGCGAGACGCAGATTCTCGTGCCAAACATTGTCGAGCGGTCCGGGCACAACATCTTGGTCATACGTGAGAGCATGCAGGAACTGCTCAGGCCTGAAGTCTTGCCCATGAAGCAGCCAGTGCCGTCGGCGACCTTTCACAGCTTAGCGACTCGTCGACGCAGGATTTGTGCTTGCGTCGCATCACGGGGACGAGTGCTTCCGATGCTGCTGCATGGGCTGACCTCGAAGAGCAAAAGGCGTGGGTGCCAAAGCCAAGATTTGCCACTGTTGCGGCCTTGCACACGTCCACACATGTGGGCTCTAGTCTGAGGAAGCGTATGGAGCAGAGGGTGAGTTGTGAACAGTCCGTGCTGGCAGGTCAGCCGCGTGTAGCATGCGAGCCATCGGTGACATCTTGGATCGAGGTACCACGTTGGCACTGCTCCGATCACAGAAGGACACGTCACAGAGCCGCTGCTTCGGTTGCCTCGCTTCCAAGACTGACCGAAGGATCTCGGGCTAGTTCTGAAACTCACTGTCGACAAAGACGCAGATGCGACTTGGACAGAGGTAGATGCACCTTCTGATTACACACATTCCTGGCCTCAATGCCGAGGTGCGGCGTTCAGCTGTGCACACCGTCAGTCTCTTCTCCCTCTATGTAGACGATGACGTCTTCATTAAAGTCTGCCGTGGTTTACCGCCACTCGCAAAGGGTCCAGTGCAAACAGCCGCCGTCCGTTTGCAGGCTGCTTGTCTTTGAAAGCTGCCAAGCACAACACCCGACATCCGACTTTCAAGTATGTGGAAGTTAGACCGTGTGGGTGTTCCACACCGCCAAACTCCAGGTGCCCGAAGACGATGACAGCAGACCAATAGCCTAGCCATGATCAAGCTTTTCAAGCATCAAACCGACACTCAGCAGCAGCGAGCATTGGCCTGTTGCTGACCGTGTTGTGCACCTGCTCGAGCATGAGTTGGTGGATTCATAGTTTGAGGCGAAACGAAAGCTCGGCAAGGACCAGCTGTGACTTGCCGGCGTGCCTTGCTCGGCAACTGAAACTACATGCACAATTCGCTCTGGCGGTAGTGATCCATTAATTCGTGATGTCTAGAAGATTTAGAACTTGTAGGCTCAGTCTTGCGCGAAGGCAAAAGTGGAGTTTGCGTGTTGCAGGTGGTTGTTTTTTGTCTTCTGCCCAAGCTGTCGGTAGTGATGCACGTGCACAGAGCCGGTCCACCGGCTGCTGTGCACCTACCAAATTCATTCGAGACGATCTTGTCGATCTCTTTGCGGGGCTGTCGCCAGGGTGGCCTGTGGCATCTTGTCGCCATTGCACCACTGATTGGCGATGGGGATGACGACGCAGACAGCGCCAAAACGATGCCTTGTTTTGCTCCACATACCTGGCTCCATGCTTGTCTACAGGCTCCCATTAGAGATTTGCTAACGATGCACCCCTTTCATCCTTTGTTGTCTGCCACGGCCCGATGAAGCACGAAAGTATTGCAAGGAGAGGAGGGCTCTAGTTACTCTCACATGATCTGTCCCGATTCCTCCAGTATCTAACACAGTAGGTAGGTAACCCTGCGGAGTCGATCCTCATCACCGTACGTCCGCTGCGCTCCTGGCGCGCAGATCGCTTCGAAGTCAGCTGGCAGACTTTGACATTCTCTTGAACGGCCAGCAGAAGAAGGCTTCCTAGACAGGCTGGAGCTGTGTGCCGTAGGATTGAAGAGAGGACTTTTCCCAAGACTTCGATTCAGTGTTAGTCTAGGTTGGGGCAGGGTTTGGTGGAACAGATGACCAGGTCATCGAGCTCTGGAAAGTGCTGCCACATCTGATTGGTGAAAGCGTTTCACTGTGCCGTGGCTCCGAAGCTGCGTGCCGTGCATCTTACTGGTCGGAGCGCGTTTCCTCTGCTTTCTCGTACCTTTAAGAGAGGAAGCATGTGCCAAAGTGCCGAACCAACAGTCGCAGTGATGGCCACGGCTTTCACCTCCGATTCCTGTACCTCCTGGTCTCTTGGAGGGTGAAACCTGCCCTTGCTCCAAGGCATTGCTCAGGGAGCTCGACGGTGCACTGAGGAGCCCCGACATGTTGCAGCTTCCTTCATGGTAGTTTTGACCAGCCGCATGGTGTGTCCGCACATGTCCACGTGCATGGTCTTTCCATTGCCCTGGACTGGTCTTCGCTCAAGATCCTTCGCGCGAGACAGCACACAAATGCGAAGCAATTCCCAACCATGCAAGAAGTTGATATGCAAGAATTAAGTGCATTCTTGGTACAACGGAAATGCAGCACTGAAAGCCTTTGCCAATAGGATGTGCAAGTTACAGCTATTTTCGTGGGCAGATTGTATGAGGCAAGGGTAGATTCTTGGGTGGTGGCACTGCGTCGGCAGATTCCCTGTCTTCCATGGCCCATGAATGCAGAAGAAGGAGTTGGTACCTAGCCTTCCATGTAGCTCATGCCAGAACTTGCAGAAGTGTTGTTTTCTTGTTCGCTGAGGTAACACGACCACTTCAGATCCACCGGAAAAGTATGAGCCAAACTCCAAATTTGCTCTCAAGCTTCCCAGCGACATTGATACGGCCCCGGCCTTGGGTCTCCTTGGGTGCACATCCAAAAAATCGCGGACCCTGAACCGTAAGCAGTAGGCCTGAGCGCGACCTACCGAGACGGAACGGAACACCTTCTCTGGCAACGATCTGGAGTCCTACATTGCTTCCTACGCCACAGTGCCAAGCTTTCACACTGGCTCTTCGGCGACACTATTGCCACGCATACACACCTGGCTATGCCTAGGCCTAGATCTACTTACAGGACTTGTAAGAAGAAGAAAAGGGATGCAGCAGCAGATCGTGTAGCTGAAAATGCATGCCACGAAAGCGTGCATAACTTGGGCACGGAAGACCGAACAGACCTGCGATTATATTGTGTTGCAGCAAAGTTTGTGTCTGAAGATTTGTTGTGCGAGACCCTCGAGTCCTAAATGCTGGGACAGCCCGTGTTCTCTCACCCGAGCAACTAAGATATCGCTTCGGATGGATGCTGCAGATGTCTGGTGATCGTCGAAGACTCGAAGGTCAGACGAGTGTGGAATGTTGTCGCAACTTGAAGCTCCATTTAACGTGTTCGTTTAGTGAGTATGTCATTCTGCCGCGCGTGTGCCCGACTTCGGAGCCCAGGTTCTCTTTCTGCTGCATGGCTGCAATCTAGTCTCTGCATGATTTTGCGATAGCAGCAGCAGTTGAAAGTGTCCACGAGGTTGCTTTACACCGCGACGTATTTTCCTTTCCAGCTCCCAGCCTGCAAGGGTGTTGCACGCTTGGAAGATCTTGTAAGTGCTTGCCAACGACCACACGCATCCTGGAGACCTACGGAACTTGCAATGCTTAGGTGGTTTGTGCTCGTCTTTAGATGAATGAATGCACAGGCTTTGCTTCATCGACCTTCGTGTCCCCGTCGAAATCTCCAAGGTGGAGGCTTGACTTTCAGCTCTGGCAGAAGCATAAAAATGGGCACATACTGTACATGTTGGGGCAGGTAGGAATGTGCTTTTGTTTTGTTCTTTTCCATCAGCCAAAACAAAGGGAATGGCGTGACACACTGAACCCTGCCCTGCCAGCAGGAGATCTTTGATCGCCCAGTCGACTTTTTAGTCAACTGCCGCCAAGCTGCACTCGCCATCCAGCAAGCACGGCAAGCTCTAGACTCTTTCTTGGTCTCAGTCCGCTGAGCCTTGGCCACTGGCTCCCTAGGCCTCTTTTACCTCGACCTTATCCTGAACTTCTTCATAAGCTATCGGGATGCGAAGGCGCGGGGGCTTCTTTCGAGCTCTGTGCTTCTTACTTTGACTGGTGCACTTGTGTCCAGAGTGGGCTCTGTTGAAGCGGTGCCTGCACTCTCTACCTCAGCATGCCCAGATGGCACTTAGACATGTGAGTGGTGTTGGGGGGTGATCAAAAATCCAGGAAGGTGGAGCTTGGTCCTATCTCTTGCTAGCCTTCTGTGAGCCGCTGCTACGTACTCCGGCACGAATTGTCCCTGTGCAGGGCGTCGAAGTGGTGGATCTGAGGAAAACTTCTTGGTACTACTTCAGGACCGGTCTGAGTTTCGGGCAAAGAGCACGCATGGACTCGGTGCCACTCGGTGCTGCACTGAGGCGTCGAGAACAAGCAAAAGCCTTCGCTACAACAACCTAGTTGCTGAAGCCTTGCTATATTGGTTGTGGCAGGACCTACTTTTGGCCGAATTTGGTGGCTTGCATCCCGCCGCAGCTCATAGAAGCGATGTTCCAATCAGATGTGTGCCACATCTGAACCAGATGTCTAGGCGGCCTGCTAAGTGGAATTTGTCGAATCAACGGTGCTGGAGTTTACTCACCCCAGCCGGCACCAGTGCACAGCACTGAAAATCACAAGCTGCACATGTGAAGCAGCTGCACTCGACAATTCCAGTAGTTTCAGATCCAAGGCGTGGTGACCTATTGGAGGCAACGGGCAGCAAGGGATCGCAAGTCGAAAGCCAGTGCAGCTTGCAAAGTTGATGGAAGGCCTCTAAGCCACGCAGCCCTTTCAGGAGTCCTGCCCCAATGCAAGAACCCACGAGGTGGCGCGTTTCAGCCGTTTGCAGCGGATCTCCCGTCTGGCACGGCTAGTACGCCTCGTACACCTCTCGAGCCTGGGCTTCCGATGCGGTGTTACCGCTTGCCGGCGGATCATCGAGCACAACCTGTAGGGTTTGCTGTAACGAGCACAGAGCCACGCGAAGAACGAAGTGCAGTATCGGTGACAAAGCTGCCATAAGCTCTCTCCAGCATCTCGGTCTGAGGAAGCTCCTGAGATTCATGGATGATAGCGACCTGGCCGTGCAGGAAATTCAATCGTTAACAGACAGGTCATGTCACCATGTTCCGCCATATATTTCGTTGAGAAACGCCATGGCTTATTCGGTGAGCCCAAGGTCCCGTTATGATACAGCTGAGAAACCTTCGGGGTGTGCGGCTGCTTTGATGCAAAGTAGAGACCTCTGTGGGAAAGAGCATGAAAGCTCCATAACTGGCCGAGGATTATCAATCTATTCTGCACACTGGCACCTCGGAAGCTTCATGCCTGCCACCGTGCATATGCATGCAGCAGCACACTGCTCTGTTCCGCTGAGTCCTGGGTCGCGCACATGGTTGGCTGCGGCTGGTACCTTTGCGCAGCACTGAACGGCTCTTCGGCGACGCTTGGGCGCAAAGCTCTGGAGAAGAAGAATTGCTTGAAAAGCCAACGGAATTGAAGGACAAACAAATGGACAGGGCTCTCTATAAGGACAAACAAATCAACAGGGCTCTCTATCAGTACCCAGAGACCTCGCATAGCCTAGGACGCGGGTAAGCTCCCAGAACCCCAGAATGTGGCTTTTGCGACAGGCTGGAGGATACCTGGCTCGGCATGCGCGTCATCGACTCCAAGGGTTCCACGCTCCTCTACAAAAGCGACGGCTCACGACAAGACCCCGAGGCCTTGCTGAGAGATCATGAGGTACTTATGGCATCACACAACAACATCGTCAAACATGGCATGGTCTTGAAAGGTTCAGTGGCTCAATGCTTTCTACTTCGTCCTCACCGTCTTCACTACTGTGGGGTTTGGAGCAGCATGTCTGCGCAAAGACGTGGTTTCGCCGCAAAGCCGGCTCAGAAGGTTGATTGAAGACTCTATCTGTGCAGCTGATGACTGCATGCTGTGCTGTGCACGAAGCCAAGGACATGTCAGCTTATACACAAGCTGAGATGGGGTATGTTTGTGGGACAATGCTCTTGGGCGCCATCGTGAACAGTGTGCCTTGGCAAGAAGGCTGTAAGAGCACACGGGATGATGAATGGATGTTGAAGACTGGTGCGCTCTATCCCTTCTTACCAAGATCATCCTGAACGAAGTCATCGGAACATTGACCCGCCTGGACGAGAGCGCCTCGCGCGTGATGCAGCAGATTCAGGCGGCATGGCTGCAGTCGCCACAATCCCCTGACAGTCCGGTGTCCATTGAACAACCGAAGGGTCTGTTCACTAAACCGAGCTGGAACCTTGCGCAAGCCGGGAGAATCTTCATGAGATTTTCCCGAAACCCAAACTCTCGTCGGAACAGCGAAATCAGGGCTGAATGTGTGGGCATGGCATTATGCCGTTGGATTCCTTTGTTTCTGCTGTGCTACAGTAGGGTAACATGCCCTGCTCTTTCAAATCATGCTGTTCAACGAAAGATGACACGGTCCCCCCGCCTCATATTCCTTCGACACAGGTTGTTCAGGATTTCTCAGAGCACTGCAATCTGAGCAAGAACTTGCGCAAACAGCCGCTTGGCCTGCACCTGTCCAGAAGCAATGCTTGCAGACTAGAGCCGTTGAAAGACACTTGCGACAGAAGTTCTTGACATCCCGAACTTATAGCAGCACTTGCGCGTCATGAAGCTGCAAGATTGTTTCGTGCCTCGAGACTGCATGGATCAAATCTTTTGTAGCTTCCATCCGGTCGTGGCGTCCAACTGGGACGATGCTCCTTGGTGTTGTTGGCAAGTAGTTTTTCAGTCACCTGCCTCTGTGTCATCAGGATGCACCCCAACTTGCGCTGCAAAACTTGAGGTTCAATCAACAGGTCGGGCTCCAGAGTTTGCTGAAAGATGGTGGCAAGCACTTCTCCGGGGTTGATGAGGCCTTGCTGAAGAACATCGAGGCCTGCAAGAACTTGGCGCAGATCACCAAGAGTTCCCTGGGGCCATACGGCATGAACAAGTTGATCGTGAACCACCTGGGAAAGCACTTCGTAACCAGCGACACAAACACAATCGTGACGGAGCTCGAGGTCATGCACCCGGCAGCCAAGCTAATTGTCATGGCAGCCAAATCACAGGCTCGGTCTTCAAAAGCATGCAAGCAGAGAGCGAGAAACCGCAACGTATATTCTGTGTGCCGAAGCCGGTCGAGTCTGCTTTCTGAGGGCCCGAATTCAAGCGAGGGAGAGAAGGCGAGAGCGAGAAACAGAAGCTAAACACAATATGTGACCCAGGAGCAAGAATCCGGAGATGGCACCAACCTTTGCGTCAGTTTCGGTGGCGAGCTGCTGCAAAGGGCTGAGGAACTGCTCAAGGAGGGCATCCACGCAAACGACGTCTACAAAGGCTACGAGCTGGCTAGAGACAAGGCTGCTGTGCTGCAGAAAGTTTCGTGTCAGGGCTGGTAAGTACGTTTCAACTCATGACGCAACGCTTTCTACACAGGCGCTGGAATACCTGAGCGAGCAGGTGTGCTGGAAATGCACTGACTTGACGAGTGTCGACCAGCTGACGACCTGCGTGAAAACCGCCATCGCATCCAAGCAGTTGGGCTGCGAAGGTCCCCTGGCGAAGCTAGTGGCTGAGGCTTGTGCCCAGGTCATGCCTCCTGTGCCAAGCAAATTCGATGTGGACAACGTCCGTGTGACGAAAGTGCAGGGGGGCAACTTGAACAGCTCATTTGTCGTGGAGGGCATGGCCATCGCACGACGGACCAGCGGTGTGGAGCAGTTCAAAGAGAAAGCCAAGGCAGGCAGAGAAGCAAACCCAAAGCCCAAAGCCCAAAGCTTGCTCCCATGTAAGCTGCCAGGTGGCTGTGTATGCCGAAGCACTCGAACTGGGCTCAACTGAGACGAAGGGCACCGTCTTGTTGGAGAGCGCAGAGCAACTCATGAACTTCAGCAAGGGTGAGGAACTGAAGATGGACGAGCTGATCCGTGGCATCAAGGAGGTTGGAGTGGAGGTGGTCATCGTGGGAGGAACGATCAATGATATGGCTTTGCATTTCTTGAACAAGTACAAGATCATGGCCCTTAAGATCTCCTCCAAGTTCGAGCTGCGCCGGATTTGCCGCACTGTGGGTGCCACTTCCGTCATCCGAACCGGACCACCGCTCCCAGAGGAGTGCGGGTATGTGGAGTCAATCAAAGTGGAGGAGATCTCTTCCGAAAAGTTCACCATCATGAAAACGAGAGACTCCAAGATCGCAACGGTCGTACTGCGCAGTGCGAGCCCCAACGTCTTAGACGAATTGGAAAGGGCAGTTGACAATGCAGTCAACGTAGTGCGATGCACCTGCCGAGACCCCAGATTCGTGGCAGGCGCAGGGGCAACGGAGATAGAGCTTGCACACCAGCTACAGCAGTTCGGTGCCACTGTGCCAGGACTAGATCAGTATGCCGTCCTGAAGTTTGCAGAAGCACTTGAAGTAGTCCCAAAGATCTTGGCAGAGAATGCCGGGCACAGCCACGTGGATGCGATCACCGCACTCTATGCGGCCCACCAGAAGGGCGAGAAGACCGCAGGAGTGGACGTCGACTCGGGCACCTTGGTTTGCAACGCCGCCGAGCGGGGCATCCTGGACCACTCCGAAACCAAGAAGTGGGCCATCCGCTTCACCCTTGATGCTGTGCTCACGGTCTTGAAAGTAGACCAAATCATCATGGCCAAGCAGGCAGGAGGTCCCAAGGGTGGCGGCGAGGGCAATCGTGACGACGACTGAGGCAAGAATGCAGCGTAGCTAAAGACTACCTGAATAGCAGCGACTACCATGGTCCAAAGGATCATCGCAGGTTTTGTGCAAGATCTTGCCTCGACACAGACGTAGCCCGAAACGGGGGGAGCTATGAGAGAAAACGGAGGAGCGGAGCTCAGCCGCGACCACAGAGAGTTGTCCTGTCGTCCTGGTCCCATCCAGCATTTTTTGCACTAACTCAGGCTGGTCAAGTGGGCACGCGAGACCCGTGCTGACAAGCACGACTGGGACAGAGCAAGAAGCTCAGTAATGTCAAGCTCGAGCTGGCCTGAAGGAAATTCCGCGTGGCCCACCCTACTGATTGGACCCCTCCTCTCACCAGGCATGGATGCGTGAGCTGCTGACGAACGGGGTGATGCCGAACCATCTCGTGGACCACTCAGCTCAGCCTGCGGTCCTCTACATTCTCCATATCCCGAAATAAGCGCAGGCAAAGAATGAAAAACATGGAAACTCATTGGCCTGAGGTGCGGCAGCTGCCTGCGGCCCTGTTTGCAGGGAAGCTGCTCAAGAACAGGTCCCTGACATACTGTTCTGAACGATTGCCTTCACATTGCCGCGGCTTCTGTCCCACAGGTTTGTTACGGTTTGCCGACCACACTTCAACGACGTCCTGCCACCGCGGTTTCACATGATTTTGGCGTTGAATCTGGATGTCCAGGAACTCGGTCGGCATTTTTGAGTCGCTGCCTGAGCGTGCCAGCTAAGACGACGCTTCGGTCGCCCAACTGAGGATTTCGAGCACCACCAGATCGTCTACTACTGTGCCATGGCTAGTAATGCTGTGGACCGAACATGCAGATCATGCCTTCCTGTAGCTAGAATATCAACTCGCCTCGGTCGGCTCTTGCGATCACCACAATGCCGGATCTGAGGCTACGATCAGGCCGGCTTGCTGTGCCAGCGCATGTGATGTGACCGTCGGGTCCGAGAAACTGTGCGGAAGTAAAGAGGTAGCAAAATCATGTGCATGCTCGGACTCATCTTGACCTCAGGCGTTCGGGCTCTTCTTGGTGGCACGAGGCCTTTTCTCGGAAAATTTGTTTTAAAAAATGCACGTTGAGAGACTTGTCATACGCGAGTCGATCAGCGCTTGCCCCTGCGAGCTGAGTACCTTCTTTAGGATAAGCTCATGGAAAGTGCTAGAGTCCCAGCCCTAGGCCCTAGAACTGAGAGGCATATTTGCTGCAGTCGCGAAGCCTGGAGCGGCTGGCGGGCACATCGAGAGTCAAAGCTGCATGCTAATCTCCTGTGCTCTTCAGAATCGCAGGTTGGCGATGGGAGAAGGGAAAGACTGATTGACGTAGATCGCGATAAGCAAGCCGTCTTTCCCGGAGCGAGGTACAGAATTATGACATTACTGTTAATTATACAATCTGCTCGATCTGGGAATAATGATGAATAATGTCAAGATGCTGCTGGGAAATTTGCTTTCACGATAAAGAGACATACCTTGCTTGTATGCATAGTGGCGATGCAGAGCCGCAGCGAATTGCCTCGAGCGTCGCATAAGGCTCTGCTGACATATAACACTCTGCACATAAAGAAGGCATCCGAAAACGGAATCGCATGGCAAGCTCAGGTGAAAGGGTTCTTGCACAAATTTGCCTACAAACACCTGTTGCATTCCGAGAAACGTTCACCTCACCAAGAATCACCGCAGCGGATCTCTAGCTTGAAGACGGTCGGTCGCGTAGTGCTCTTCTCCCATAGCGACGTCAAGTGCACGCTATCTTTGCTGCGCCGAGGAAGCTGGATTGGCTGCGGACCATAGCTGCCTGGCTTTCATGTTTCCGAAGTTTGAACTACGCATTGTTCATTCCGAACCTGCGTAGCCCTCCAGAAAGACCCAGGAAGATGAGCTCAAGAGGAAGCACCGGGAGCGGCTGAAGGCTCCTACGCAGGAATTCCTGAGACTCCTGGCTGTTCAACGAAGGCAACAGTTGTGTCGTGGGAGTACAGAGAATCAGGCGAAGAGGTCTGAGAGTTCAGAGCAAGCCCTGTCTACTTCTCAGAGATGGAAGACCAAGGACAACGCATTGAAGAGAAGAACGTGCTTTGGCAGCGGCAACTAGAAAGGCGCGGCGGTGCGGCAGTGTGTTGAAGCACGAGTTGGAGCAATCCAGACAGTCTACCCTCCAGGCTGTGCCCATACCAGCTCTTCGGCGAGGGCACGTATTTTGGTGATACGGAGGCTGTTCTGCGGGTATTGGGCAGGACGTCCTTGGCCGCCAAACGGTTCGATCATGGCACCAGCCTCGATCCGAGTGAGATGGATCATGTTGCAGGGGACATGCTGTCTGTTACAGTAAGCCTTGCCCCTACACCGTGCATCATGACTAGATGTGTTGGCCAGTACACGCATTTTGCGAAGAAGTTGCCAATGTCTCCAGTCCAGTCCGGTTCCATTGTTTTCTTGCAGGTGCTGTCCAAGTTCAGCACCCACCAGCGGCACGCGACGGTTCGCTGCGAGGCGGAGCACGGTGGGTCCTTGCTCCAGCTCCACAAGGACCGTGCAACTAGCTGGCCATGCAGCATGCAGGCAGCACGTTTTGCACTGGGCACGACTGCCCGCCAAGCTCAGCATTGGGCGCAGTTTGGGAGCGGCCCAGCCAGGGAGTTCCCCAAGCCGCGCTTCGACGAATCCGAAAGTCTGCCAGGACAAGCTTCACCAGCTCATGTCAGATTTCCCTCACTGCACCTCCAATTGCATTGGAAGGGCCATTTGGGGTTTGGAATCCCACACGAGTTTGACTGTCAAAGACAAGATCACCATGAACTCCCCGAACCCAGGTCAGCGAGCCTGGCATCTCGAGGCTACCAGGCATGAAGTTCGCCGCCAAGCGAAAATACAGACTCCAAGCTGCAATTCGTCCGGCCTTTCTCATCGGAGACCCGATGAGCGACCTGCATTTACCTTCCAGTTCGTAGGAATGAGGGCTTGCCTGAAGCCAGTTGAAACGCGCAGACGGACAGATAAGAGCTTCCTGCATGCAATCCGTCATGAAACCTAGAAAGTAGTTCAAATTCTATTCGAAGCTCTGACAACGAAGTCGGGCAAAGCGTCCGAGCGAGAATGATGCAAGTTTCCGTGGAGGCCATGTTCACGGTAAGTTGCCATAGTCCGAGCCAAGCAACCAGGCTTCTCACGAAGTCTTTGGACCTGTACGAGTTGGCTACCCTGGAGATCCAGCGGGCCGTGGTGGCCGTGTGGCAGAGAAAGAGGAAGGGCTCCCTGGCACGGGAGCAGTCTAAAATCTAGAATCTGGAAAGAGCCAACCAACACAAACGCTTGTTGTGAAACAGCAGCAGTAGTGCGAGCGAAGGCAATCCACCCTCGTCATCATGAAAATCATAAAAATCATCGCCCGGCCATCAGCACCAAATTACCATCACATGCGACCTAAGCCAGTGCTGTCCATGAAGCACGGATGGCTTTGGGGGGGGGGGGGGGGGGG